ACGCAAACCTGAAGTCCCCAGCGCACATTCGGGACTATCCACACCTGTCACCACTTCCTGTGGGGTCCCACTTCCCCCAACTCTCTTGGAGAAACCTTGTTTCATGTAAACTTGAAATCTTGCCTTGTCTCAATCATCTATTCTCTCCCCTGTAAGAGGCTTTTCGGCACGTCGTCTCTCACCCTAGAATTCCCACGCCCCCTGCACTCTCCAAACTTCCTCTCATTTCAATGACTTCACTGCCAGTTCGGATGCCTTCTCCTTCCTGGACGCTCCTCGACCCCTTGAGGAGAGCGCACTTCCTCCGGAAACCCCGACGGCATCTGCAGAATTGTCTAGACTACTCGTGTGGCGAATGCCTGGTGTAGAATTTCGGGTGTGCGTCTCACGAGTGTAAAGCCATGTCACAGCTCCGGGCACAGAGGCTCCCCCACAGAGAGAGCGCAGAAAGAATGCGGAACCAGCAAAGGAGGAGATGGGAGAGAGAAGGGATCCGCCTTTGACCATTAAGTCACTCGCAAGCAGAACCAAGGAGTCTCCTTCTGTGGTGTGCCCCGCAAAAGTGCCTTGGGCCAGGGGGCAGCCCCTTGGTGCAGTGGTTAAGTTCACACTTTCTGCTTAGGTGACCTGGGTTTGGCTGGTTTGGATCCCGGGTGCGGACATGGCACCGCTTGGCAAGCCATGCTGTGGCAGGCGTCCCACATATAAAGTGGAGGAAGATGGGCACAGATGTTAGCTCAGGGCCAGTCTTCCTCAGCAAAAAGAGGAGGATTGGCAGCAGTTAGCTCAGAGCTAATCTTCCTCAAAAATAAAATAATAATAATAATAATAAAATAAAATAAATTTTAAAAAGTGCCTTGGGCCAAAAATATTCCTCATCTATCTAATTGCTGCATGAGATTTCACTTTAAAAATGAATTCCTTTGCTGTCTTGAGGTTTTTCAGATTTTAAGAGCATATGGAAGCAAGCGGTAGCTAGTGGATAGGGGCCTCTCAGTAAGAGGTCGGACTGCTGGACAGTCCATGCTGGGCCCTGGGAGCGGGCACATAAGGGCGTCTCTGGAGGCCCAAGTCAGTGGGAGCAGAGATGGACAAGCCACAGGCAGAGGCCGCCCGGCCACAGTCACCATGACTCACCACCAGTGCGTCATATATATGCACACATATGTGTACACACAAAATATAAGATACATGTACATATGCGTGTGAGTATATATGTTTATTTTGTAGTTAGCATTAAAACCAAGAATACTTTTATGAAAAATTTTAAGATCACAGCAGGGACACTTAGGGATAATAGTAAACATAAATATGTTCCGATTTAAGCAGAAAGGCAGGCGAGGGAACAGAAATTGAAGCCATGTTTCTACTAGAAGCACGACACATTTCTTTCTATTCGCTCTCTCTTATGATGTTCCTGAAGCTTCTGAGGTGGAGACGCTGACTTTCACTATTTCTAATCTGCAAAGAATGACCTTATTCTAAATTTAGCTCCTTGTAATTATCCGGTTTCCCCAGGTCGGCCTCTAAACCCCGGGGACGTGGCGGTGACTGAGTCTCGCTCGAGTCCCTCCAGCATCCGGGTCCCTCCTAGTCGGAGCGGTGGCACCGGATGGCCACCTCGGGTGTGTGCTGTGTGCTGGCACCCTGAACCTGCGAGTTCCTGACTGGCTGGCAGCCGAGCTCCCCGCACCTGCAGGGAAGCAGCGCGGGGCCCGGGATCAGAGATGGCGCTGGGCCCGGGAAGCGCCACCGCCTGCTGGCCTGGCCGGAGGGGACGTGGCGGCCGTGACTGGACACTGACTGGCCTCCCAACCCCGGACACCCCTGCTTTGTCGACTGACTCCCGCCTGACGGGGGCTGTCCCTCCAAAGTTAGGAACAAGGCACCCCACAGCTTTGAGTGACTTCAGTGGCCAAACGCCTGGCTTTGTGGCCTATTATTCACTCGTTCATTCACTCCCATGACAGCGCGGGGCCTCCACGAGCAGCTGGCGACAAACAGGAACGGCCCTCAGGGCGGCTCCCAGGGGGTTGGAGGAGAGGCGCCAGGCTGGGGGTCCACCCCCCTCCGCCGGAGGCCCCGGCTCGCCTGTCAGCCCCCAGGCCCGTCAGCAGCACAGGGTCCAGCACTGGGTTGATGCCCGAGGCCAGGCTGCTCCCCCTCGGACTCAGGCGCCTTCTCCTGCCTGTGAGACCACCCCGCTCCAGACCCAGAGGAGAGCACCCTGAGGGGCGCCGCCCGCCCTAGGCCTGGTCTGCGCTCGGCTCCCGTGGACCCCTGACGCGCCCTCTGCTGCACACCCCTGGCCGTCAGGGACTTGGGTACAAACAGACAAAACCGTCAGCCTGGAGGACCTCACCTCCCCAGGGAGCCAGACAGCAAATGCCAAGGGTAACAGCTGGAGCACACAGCGTCCCGAGTAGTGAGGGAAGGGGCAGGGAGTCGGAGGGTCCCTCTGCAGGGCTGAGGGGGAAGGGACAGCCTGAGGGGACGTGGAACGGGGAGGACCGTCCACCAGGAGGAGAGAAGCAGGGCGTCGGGGCAGCGGACGACGGGCCAGCAGGTGCTTCTGCGCGGGTCCCCCCGCGCTGCTCCTGGAGCCGAGCGCACTGAGCCTCAGACAGGACGCAGGTCCTGCCGGACACCGAGGTGAGGAGGCCTCTTCACGCCAGAGTGGGAAGACTGCTGTGTCTCCGTCCCCCACCCCCAGGCCTGTTGTGAGGCCTCAGGAGAGAAGGGGCCGAGGGGGCTGCGGAGCGCTGGAAGCTCCCACAGCGCGGGGCCACTGTCGTCGCGGAACCGCGTTAGGACAGCGCTGGGACTGTGCTGCATCCAACGCCACCACCTGCGGCTGAAGACGAGACACTGAGGCGGGGGGAGTAAATGAGGCCTGGCTTGTCCCCACCGGTGTCCGCGGTCGGCCCACCAGTGCCACGCCCCCCTCACCTCAGGGCGCTGCTGCCCGCACAGCTGTGTTCTTCTGAGCTGATTTCGCTCCTTACCATCAGACTGTGAAGCACGTGCTCCGTTCCAGGATGAAAATATTGATTTTACCCCAATAAGTAAATGTGTGAATTGAAGGGCTGGCTAATTTTGCAGCCTCTTACTCAAGCAACAGAAAATAACAGTAATTGCCAAATGGAAAACGAGAAACACTGATGAGAAAAATATCTTTTAAGAACATAGTTTTCAGTGTACAGGTCTCTAACCTCCTTGGTTAAATTTATTCCTTGGTACCTTATTATTTTTGTTGAGATGGCAAATAGGATTGTTTTCTTGATTTCTCTTTTATGTTAGCTTGTTGTTAGGGTATAGAGACCAACTGCTTTTCGTATGCTGATTTTCTACCCTGCAACTTTACTGTATTCGTGTATTATTTCCAATAGTTTTCTGGTGGATTCTTTAGAGTTTTATATATATACCCATTGATGGATGAATGGATAAATAAGATGTGGTATATATATACAACGGAATACTACTCAACCATAAAAAAGATGAAGTCTTGCCATTTGTGACAACACAGATGGATCTTGAGAGAATTATGCTAAGTAAAATAAGTCAGAAGGAGAAAGACAAATACCATCTGATCTCACTTATAAGTGGAAGATAAAACAACAACAACAAACACACACAGATGCAGAGCACAGGTTGGTGGTTACCAGAGGGGAAGAGGGTGGGGGGGGACGAAAGGGGGGACAGGGCGCATGCACAGTGACAGACGGACACCAGACTTGAGGTGGTGAACGTGATGTAGCTTATACAGAGGTCAAGTTATAGTGATAGATACACCTGAAATTTACATAATGGTATAAACCTACGTGACCTCAATAACAAAACCACAAATGTCAAAATTAATAAATATTTTGCTACAAGAAATAAAACGAACAATTTCCTAATTTAGCTACCACTTGTACTCCTTTTAAAAAGTCAAATTTTTCTTCATCACTATTTCACAGATGCTACCTATAAATTTGCTAGTGATGAAGAATTGATAAATTCAAAGATGATTTCTATTGCTCAATTACTTCTAAAATGGTAGGTAGGGAGCTTGCAATTAACTTATGATTCATAATCTTCAAATATTAGCAATTATTTAAAAAAGGAAACTAATTTTCTGAAACAATATGGGGGCCAAACTTCTAACGTTTAATTTTTGTCTCATTGCAATACAGTGACCCTATTTTAAACAAGAATTACAGGAAAGAGCATTTAAAATGGTACTTATTAATAATTTGGAAAAATTAAAACACATGAGTGTATTCTACACACTGTGTACTCTGAAGGAAAAGTAACTAGACAGATGTGGTGGAGGAAGATCAGACTGATGGACTTGATGTCAGCCGGTCTTCACCCCTGAAATGTATTTGGATGTGTCATCCTCACAATCCACAGCCTGCCTGTGTGTTTGGTTTACTGAGTTAACTAGCGTTTTCTCATCCTGATTTCTCTCTGTTTGAGTCCTGGGCTGGCACACGGTTTGGCCACAGAGGGCAGCCTGAGTGGTGTGGCAGAAGCAGGACCTGCAGGACGGGAAGCATTGGGCAGACTCGGAAGGGGCCCAGGTCAGGGACCAGCAAGCCCCAGCGCCTGCCAACAACATGGGGCTCCTGTCTGCAACTGTGCTCACAGGCTGCTACAGGGGCAAGTGTTTGTGTCCAAATACAAATGCTGAAGACCACAGGAGAGTAAGAAAGTGTCACAGAGAGAATTTCTCGGAAATTTGACATGTTCTTACATTTGACAATCTTAGGAGATTCCTGTAAGCACCTGTATTGAAAGGACTCTGGCATGCTTTCGTCGCATGCATTTTTAATGCTACATACTTTGAACGCACATGTATCATATGTATGCATCGACAGTAATTTGATATGTAACGAGCACAGTGTACTAAGAATATGTGATAAATATTCTTCATGAAAAAGAAGCACAACGTAACGCTCTATCAATTGTTAAGCCCCTGTTTGCTATGGTCTTAAAAAACAACTCTCCTCTCTTCATTTGAATATTAATATGTTTATTTCCAATTCAACGTATTATCCACAGGTTCAAAGGACAAATAAGTAGAGGGGGAGAGGCAAGCGATGCCCCTCAAAGATGCCCTCGTCCTAATCTCTGGACCCTGGAAGTTATCTTCCATGGTGAAGGGACTGCGGAGATGTGAGCAAGTTAAGGATCTTGTGATGAGGGGGGGATCCTGGGTGATCCATGTGGGCCCAATGTGATCACAAGGGTCCTTAGAAGAGGGAGGCAGGGGCTCCGGGTCAGAAGGAGATGTGACCATGGAAGCAGAGGTCTGAGGCACGTGGGATCAGGAGCCAAGGCATGCAGGTGGCCCCGGATCCAGAAAAGGGAAGGAAGTGGATTCCCTCCAGAGCCTCCAGCAGGACTGCACCCCTGCCGACACCCAGCTTTTAGACCTGACCCATTTTGGACTTCTGGCCTCCGGAACCGTAGAATACGTCATCTGTGTTACTTCAAGCCGCTAAGTTTGTGGTGATGCATCACAGCAGCACAGGAAACGAATGCATCGAGATTACAAATTGATTTGTCCAACTATTCTCCAATAAATGCTGGAAGCTCAGCAAAAATAGGCAGAAAACAAAACTCTTTTAAGATAGAAACCAAAGAATAGAAGCACCGCAGGCTCCCAGCTGTGCAGCTGAGGAAGCAGGATTCACGGACGCCCCCCAGGGCTCCTCTTCCGCACGGGGAGGAGCCCTGGCCGCCATGGTGCAGGCCACCTCGGGAGCAGTGCTCAGGACAGCACTCGAGGGAAGGTGAGTGGAGGGAGTTCTGGGGAAACGCGGCAGGTCACCCTGGACTTCATCAAGCAGTAAATCCGTGTGTACAGAAACATCCTGCATGACTAGTGAGTTTGCAGAAAGACGCTCACCCAGACAACCAGGCACACAAGCAGGAGCAGACTGGACCGGACGCTCGTGTCCCCTCAAGGCCACGTGCTGGAGCCCTGGCTCGCAAGGGCATGGCATTTGGAGGTGGGGCTGTGGGAGGTGATTAGATTTAGAGGAGGTCATGAGTGTGAGGCCCGGTGACGGGATCAGAGTCCTCGGAAAAAGAGGAAGGGAGACCAGAGCAGTGAGTAGCTCTGAAGGGGCTCAGGGAGAGCCCGGAGTCATTGCACAGAACTCTGTGAGGGCAGTTCTAGCACCAACACTAAGACACTTCAGTGAGAAGGTTGAGGGTCTGGGGCCCCAAGAAATGCAGTGAAAGAGGGGAATAATAGGCCAGGTAGGAAATAACTGGTTTTTACCAAAAGCAGAAGCAAAGGGGATGGAAACATGATTCGTGATGAGAGTAATAGAAATTACCAGCTGACTGGAGATGTGGAGAAAACCGTAACACATGCATTTTAAAGCCCCTTCAAACTTCCTGAGTGGCGACTCTGCAGTAGATGCCATCTGGAAGGAGGGATGAACGGCTGTGGCATTCCGGTTGTGAGGGACTATTCAGCTCCAAACATCTTCCACAACGGCAGGACAGAGTACAGGAAACCCAGCGAGAGGCTGTCTGGGAGGAAGCCAAGGAAACGTGTCTCGTCATTATATCAGCGCCGACAAGCTCAAGGAAAGGGGTGGTGTCCGCAAGTGCCCAAATGCTGGAGAGACGAGCCTGCGATCCAGGACGGGCCTCTGCTGCTCCTTCCTCAGAGCGGCTCTTCATTGGGTGGAGAGGCTGGCAGGCTGGCAGGCACAGGAATCTCAGTAGAGAGCACCTTTTGTGACAGAGTTCAAATAGCCCAGAACATACTGTTGGGTAACCAGGCAGGATGTTCCACCGCTGTCTACGACCTCCAGCAGCACCCCTGCCACAGCTCCAGCCTCGGTCTTCAGAAGCCCCTCTGGTCTCTGTGTCAACATCCCCACCTCACCTTCACAGCTCCATCAGTCTTTGGTGGCGCTGTCACTTTTCTCTCTCTGTCCTTCCATTCCTGTCACATGCGTATTCACTGTCCGTGTACAAGCTTCTCTTCCCAAGCTGTCCAGCCCAGAGTCCAGGGGCATAATTCAATGCAGCTCCTCCACGTTCATCAATGCACTCGTCAAACACTCTGGCAATCACAAGATGAACATGAGGCACCACTGGGAAAGTGGCATTCTCACAACGTGTCCACAGCCCCATGTTCACACGCGTGTGGCTCCGAGGTCCCGCTGGCTCAGGGCAGGTCCTCCAGACAGGGAAAGGATGCCCGCCCTTGACATCGCCATGGTGCCCTGTCTTTTCCATGAGTCTGTCTTACTGGATGCCAGAGAGGACAAAAACTGCCATTTTTTCTGAACTTTTCCCCCAGGCCTACTCTGTCATCCTGTTTTTAACGCATTTTATTCTCCCTACAAAGAGAGAATGAGATATTTAAATACACATCTTATTAAAGAACAAACCTACTTTTGGGAATTTATGCGTCAGTTCACAACCTATTAAATCTACTGACAGAAAAAGAGAGATGAGAGCCTGCTGGTGACGTGGAAGGATTTATGAAGAGCCCCCTCGATATTCCCCCGTCCCACTCGCCCTCGTATTGTCCAGGTGCGTGTTCAAGCACACACCCTTGGGCATTCTGACTCTGTGGGTTTGAGCCCCCGCCCTGATCCTCACCAGCTGGGTGGCCTGTCCAGGTGACTCAGCCTGATCCTCCATCCATCCAGTTAATGATAATAGTATTGTGGCTCTCGAATAGGACCCATGAGGTCCTCTATTTGGTCTACCAGGCCTTCCACCCGCTATGACAAGAGGAGGTTGTAGGTGTCCCCGAAAAACCACAGTCACTGCGGCGGACAGTGGACGCATCTGAGCCGAAGGGGCTGCATGGGTGTCAGGGCGTTGGGTCCAAGGCCCAGGGGTAGAAAGTGAGGAGAGCAGAGGAAGAGCAATGTTGGCGGAGGGGCTGCCACTGAGGGTCTGTACCGCCCCCGCAGAGGAAGGACCGGGAGAGAGAAGCGTCCTGGGCAGAAAGTCTCCCGCTCACAGCTGCCCAGGACGTGGGGATGAGGTGCCAAGAGACGATGGCAAACAAATAGGAAGGTCAGGTTACCTTCTGAGAAGCCCAGAGGCACGGGGCCAAAGCTGAGCTGGCAAAACACGATCGGCGAGAAGTTCCTCAGCCGAGTGGATGTGCCAACAGGCAGGACGGCCATCCTGCTGAGCCACCAGAGTCCCCGGCACTGGACGACGTGGTGACGGGGGCTCCAGGTCCTTCCTGCAACAGGAGACCATCTAAGGGCCCCAGAGGTGTCACGGAATATTCATCTTAGATATTCCTCACATGGGTTGCTTTTGGGATATTCAATAATTCTTATTTTTGAATACTCAGAAGAAACACCAGACAGCTTTGATTTTAGTAGTGATTTTGTCAAAAAGAGCTTCAAATTATAAAGAAATATGAAACAAGTCATGTGACATCTCAATTTCATTTTAAATTCTTGATATTTTTAGTCACAGATTTACTGGTTTTTTAGCAGCTTTATCACTGGATGAATATTAATTATCTATATCTATTGCATGTGTTTCTAACTTCTCAAGTTTTCAGATCACGAAATAACGATGACAATAGTAGTGAGAGCTCTCTGCTGCAGAAGGAATGAGCCTGCAGACAGGAGCTCTCTTCTAGCGTAGGACACGCAAGCATTGCGCTGAGGCAGTGCTGCGAGATCGGAAACTACGCAAGCCAAGAAATTCTGTCGTTAAAAATTCCAGATACCTCTAAAATGATTCTTCACACATAAGGGTCAAGAGAGTCAGCCACAGGCTGTAATATTTATACTTCCGTAAAATACAAGTCAAGGGTAACACATCCATTTTAAGTAATGCATAGATGTTAGTTAACTATTACTGGCAATGTTCACATAAATTTCAAATTAGCTGATCTTACTTTTATAAAACCAATAATTAGAACAGTCGCATATGTACTATGAACACAACTAAAATGTATAATACTCAGAAAAATACCCCTCCTGGCTGTTTTCTTCTGCCGTATGCTTGCTTTGTGTAATAAACAAATACTTATGCTTAAATGTATAAAACTCTCTTAACAGTATCCACAATGATGCGATCTGTATTAATTAGTGTCCATAACATGTATTGACTTTGGGGATTTATGGTTTTAATAAACAGAGAAAGCAAGTTAATTTTTTAAAACCATACTGAAACTAACATGATTTTTCAATGGAATTTTTTTATTAATCAGCATTTCTTCACACTCAATACAGGTTTAAACATGTGTAAATGCTTATTTACAAATTTTTCTAACTCTTGTGATATAAAAGGGCGAATTCTATTGCTTCTAATTTAAATTTCATTCAAATTGAGCTTAAATATTTTTTAAAAAGTAACTGAAAATACAAATATTAAATCAGTCTCTGATTAAATGCCCTGAAGGGACTTTGCTTGATTTATCTGTGAGCATTCATTTAAGGGGTTCTTGGACACCATGTGCCTCAGTTTCCTCAATTCTAAAACCAGGAGGCTGTCAGGGGCCTCGGGGTCCCGCTCAGCCTAATTCTGGCTCCATGATTGTGCTGATGGTTCTTTCCTGATCTTATGCTCAGCTTTGGTACATGTTTCTAGATGTCCCTACTGTATTCTGTATTTTTAGCCTTTGTGCTTGTGCTGTAGCAATAAGTTTGTTTCATATTTTTGGAATCTGATTTTGAGTAATGTTTACTCAGATAAGCATTTGAATTTCCGGGTTTTAGGTGTTTAGAATGGACATGTTTTCTCATATGAACTGAATCACTGTTAAACTAGGATAAAACGGCCCCTTTTTCCCACCATTTCTCAGTTAGACCCAAGCAGGGGTGGGAAGATGTGTTTTAACCATGTCCATTGTGCTGATGATAATATTAACCACATTAACAGCAGTGTTTGAGTGTGGCTCTGTTTCAAGATGGAGTATTGGCTGTGTCATTCCTTTGTTGGGGAAGTAGGCAAGTCTTCACTGGATCTTCCTCTGAAGGAACTGTACTCTGAAGCAATTCTTACTCAGCATTGGCAATCAACGTGTCCGAGCAGCCCCTGGACCATTCCCCAGACGTCTTCCTGCATTTCTGAGGTCAGTGAAACACTCGTAGACTCTCGTCTTTCACATGTGAGCTTCATTCTGGAGGCTGTTTCTCCTCACACCTTGCGATGCACTACTGAGAGTGCGACTTCCTTTTCCTTCTGGAGGAACGCTCTTGCGTAGAGCTTGCTCAGTCTTTCTCTGATGTCGCTAAGACCGCGGCAATGGAAGGGCAGTGATAACGGGGAGACAAGGTGATTCACCTGTGGGAAGACAGGCCACATCCCCGGGCCACCACACGGCTGGATCGCGAAACGGCTCATCCTCCACTGGTGTTTCTCCTCGTGGCCAGTTCTGAGCTGAGAGGTCCCATCAATTGTTGCGATCACTGACATGCACGATGTGGATCTCATACCACTGGACACATCTGTTACGTCCTGGGTCCCTCTGACACCGCCTGCTTGGAGACCTCGCACCCTGGCTCAGTTCTCAACTTGCTCCCTTGGATGCACAGGGGTCTGCCCCACTTTCTAGCCCTCTGCAGTCTCGCTGTTCTCCCAAAGTTACTTCAATTTTACTAATCTGTTAAATTACCAAGCAAAGTTGGTGACTTTTAAGGGAGCAGAGTTGAGATAATTCAAGATCGCTTTCCTTTTACTACAAACATCCTGAAGCGTCTTCCCTGCCCGCTGCTTCCACTTTGCAGGCCACGTTCCCTCCCTGATCTTCCAGGGCTGGGTTCTGGCTCTCTCTGCTCCTCTGCTCTCAGGAAAGGTCACCGGTTCCTCTTAGTCACCAGCAACTCTTCTCAGGGTCCGTATTTACTCCAACAACAGAATTCTTGTCTGCCCCTCCTGACACTCTGACTCTCTGATGTCTTTGACTCTAAGGTGTTCACTTGGTGTTTGCCTCTGTGTGTTCTCACTCTGTAGATGGGGTGTTCCTTAAGGATCTGTCTTTAGTCTTCTGTTCTCAGGGCTTTCTCCCTTGGGAATTAATTCCAGGGCTTCAATAATCTTCCGTATGTGGGTGACCCCTCCCATGGAAATCCCTCTCATGGGTCTGGGTGTTGGATGTCATGCAGCACCTTCAACTGAGTATGTCCTGAGTTAAACACATCCACTCCCTGTCAAGCCAGCTCTTCCTTGTGGCCCGCCTGGCGCTGCTCATTGCACCATTGTCTGTCACTGGGAGGCTCCACATGAGTCCTGTCGATTTTAACTTCTACGTGCCTCTTGCCCTGGTCTCATCCTTTCTGTGCTCATTGTCACACAGTTTAACTCTCACCCCCGTTGTCTCCATCACGGGAACTTCACTGACCATTTCAGTGACTTGGCCTCCTGAAGCTCAGCTCCGACCACACTGCTGCCCTGCCCCAGGATCTCCCAGGTCCTCTGGCCTGAGAATCAAGTCTGGTTTCTAAGCCTGACTCTCAAGGTCCTGAGTGGTCTGTAGCCAAGTTATCACCACAGCCCTTTGGTCAAACTCAGCTGCTCACAGTTGCTCCCATTTCTCGAATCTTCTGGCCTCACTGCCTCTGCTCACAGCCATGTCCTGCACAGTGTGAAGACCCAGCTCTGGTGCTGGCCATCCCTCCCTCGTCTCTCCCTGCTCTCTCCAGAGGATTGCACATCTCTCCCAGAGCACTTACGAAACTTGTTTGTAACCGTTTATTGTATTTTCTCATTTTGCTGCATTCTGGATATAGTAACGGAGCAATCCAGAGTTCCCACATACCAGGGGACGTACAGTTCCCATGTACATGTCACATGTCACTTACCTGACTCCGTAAGCCTGGAGAACAAAAACTACGTCTGAGTCTTGTTGCATCTTCCAAAACACGAAGCGCCAGAACTCCATACGTCCCTACAGATTTAAAACGAATGATCCAAAGTGACTCCTGCCCTTCCTGACCTGGTCCCCTCCTCCACCTTCCACCGCTGGACACTCCTCTGTTTTGTGAATGCAGCTGACAAGATTCTATGTGGAGATCTGTGCAAAATTATGAATATTATACCAAATTTTTCCTACCTAAAACTCTAAACAAGGGTTCTATTCTGCTTTAAAAGAATTCGATGTAAAAACAGCCAAGGAACCGTCTCTCCTCTTCCTGTCACTGCAGCCTGGATTCGTAACATCCCCAACATCTTTTTCAACTCACAGGATGAGGAAGGAAGGCCTGCACCTCTGTGCGCAGGGTTCCACGGGAGAAAACCTCTGGATTTAAACCTAAAATTAAACTACTGCAAAGACTTGGTAAGAAAACAAACAGACTCTCGCAAACACCGTTGGTGGAAGGAAGCCGCACGGGAATGGAGAGTCCCACGGCGGCCCTCCGAGCTGCCAACGACACGACGATGCAGAAATGCTCCTCCCGCTCAAGCGCTGTTCTTCACGGGGGCAGCCGAGTCCGGTACTCCGTGAGAGATCTCCGCAGAATCCACGAGGCTGTAATGATGTCACAATCTGTTTCCCAGATGAGGAAACGTCTGGAGGGGTGGACTCACCTCCCTCTGGCGGCACAGCTGGAAGGAGCTGAGGGAGGCGCGGGAGCCACGTGCAGGAGGGGCCGTGGGTCCCGCTGCTTCTCCCTGTCCTCGGAGGGGTTCACTCCCCACGGGCGCGCTCCTCTGGGGCGCTGGGCTCTGCCCCCTCCACCGCGAACCCTCCCCTCTCCCGCTCCGTGGGCTGAACCATTCTCCGTGTTCGCCCGGATTTCCTTTCCATGCTGTTGCTCCCCGGTGCTGTGCATCACAGGCCTTGGGGCCCACACTGTGCTGGGCCAGCTCTTGCTCTGCCCACGCCCCTGCCAGCCGTTCCTGCTCCCATCCTGTGAGGCCCCACAGCCTCTGGGGATGGCGTCAGGAACGAGGCCCACGTCGGCCAGCAGCCCAGGATCACCCCGCAGTGGCCCAGCGGCCGCTGCTGAACGCCTGGCCCAGGGGTGCAACGAGGTTCCTAACAAAAGCCTTCACCTTAAAAGGTGGCACAGAGGCAGGGTGAGATGCAGTGACGTCTGCTAATCGTGGGAAGCAGAGCAAGAGGCTCGTGTGGATAAAAGTTACTTCTCCATACTCAGGTCCATGCCACCTGCTACAAAGCCACAGGAAACCTGGTAAACTTTCCTCGCGGCCACGCATCAGTGGTACCGGGTCGGCTTCCATGACCAGGTCCCCCAGCCAGTGGGACACGTTCTCAGGGGACACCTCCACGCCAGGAGACCAGGCAACAAGCCTCTGAAAAGAAGGCCTACACTAAGTCTCGTGTGGTTTAAACATATATTTCTCAGACTATTCACTTTAGTCACAGGCAGCTGATAAAAACAAATACAAGGAACTGAAAAATCAAGTAGATGAAACACCACGTTTCCTCACGAGCGAATAAATGGCCCTCTAGGTAAGCAATGAAAAAGAAGAAAGCAGGATGCTGGGCTCCGCCAGGGAGCAACCACAGTGACAGCATCTCCAGACAGCGCACACTGCGTGATGACACTGTCTGCAAATGCACTCTCAACCGATCATAAGTCACCTCCGGGAATACACGCTCTAGCCTATTCAAATGAAAAACGTGTCCAAAACGTGCCTCCTGGGACGCGGCGATTCTCTAGATGGCAGGCGCTGGAGTAACCCGGCTGCCGCTTGTTTTATAACTTGCTCCCACTTGTTCCTAAACCTCTGTAACATTTCCTCACATTTGGGAGGGAAGCCGGGCGCGCTCGCCATGGTTCTGCAGTACCGGCCTGTGAAGCTGGTCCCAGCAGCCTCACCCCTCCCCATCAGGCTGCCCAGCGCCACCTCTGCCTGAGCAGCGGCCTCCAAGCTCTGTCCCACTGATTTTATCACGACAGTTCCAAGTGCCCTGTGTACACGACATCAGCAGTAAGTCCAAGACAGAGGACACGGGGCTGCTGCCAGCAAATGAATTCTGACACCAAATGCTCCTCAGCACCGTCTCATGATGCTCCCCACGGCTCCTGCTGCAGCACGATTTCCTTTGACAGCAAGGCTCCTGCTCTCCTGTGGGTGGGGTGCCTGCGCGGGCAGCAGGAGGAGGAGGCTTCCAAGTCGGGCTTGAAGAATGATGGCTCCCAGTGTAAGGGGCGAGACTCCTCCTTAAATCACTAACACACCCACCCTGAGATCTGCTGGCACATCCACAGCGTCGGGGAGACCAGAGGACCAGCTCTGAGAGGAGCCTGGCTTCCTGAGCAGCAGGTGGAAGGGAGTGCCCTTTTATAGTTGGATTATTAGTTTCATCTATAGTGTATTTATCCAGACACACAGAGAACTAAAATATGGGCCTTTCTTAAGAGAGGATGCACAGAACCCAAGTAGCTGATGGCATTCAAAGGAGCCTTCACAAAATCCTCTAGAATTCAGAATTTATTAGATTTCCCTGGTTTCAGGAAGCATACTCAAATGGTTCTTCTGGGAAGAGGAGGAAAGAAAAACTCTCCCTCCACGATTCTTCCTTCTCCTCAGAAGTCTGCTCTTCAGAACTGGCCTTCCACAGACTCTCCCTTTCTCCAGACGTGGCACAGGGAACAGCCATGGACGGTCAGTGCCCACTGTTGCAGCTTATCTCGCACGCAGGCTCTGCCCCGGCACCTGGCAGGCCTGTGCTTCAGCACCGCCATGTGCGACCACGCCAGAGCCACAGACAAGAAGAGCCTTTCCTGCCCTTGCATCAACACAGGGGACCAACCTCCTCAGTTTGTAGATGTGAATCCTCTGCCCCAGGGAGAGCCAGACACAGGGTGCTCTCAGCCACTGCAGGTCGGCCAGCATGAGCACAGTACGTGGTGCCTCAGAGAACAGACTAGAGATTCCAACCCTTCACGGTCAGCGCTGTGGAAAACAGTGTTAACTCCATATGTCAGAATGAAAAACACGTGTTTATGCTTCAGATATTTTTTTCCCTGTCTTCATTCTTAACTTCATAACCCCAAAGGAATGACTAAGCATGCCCAAAGAGGCACTCGGTTTTACAGCCAGGCTCACAGAGAGCCAAGATGGCACCTGAATGAGTTTTCCCCGCTAACCGCTCACAGTTATAATTTCTAGCACTAACGTTACCGTAGCGGGGCTGTTCTCAATAGCAAGGATGTCCCTTTTCATTTCCAAATACAGCAGAAGAAACAGAAAGTTTTCCTGTGGAGCTGGAGGGTAAGAAAGTCTGCCACGCTCCCTGTTCCCACCATGGAAAGGAAAATAGATTTCTGCTCTGGTCCAATACCAGAAATCCTGGTTCTCCAGCCCCTAGAGGAAAGCCACTCCCAGCAGACCAGAATACCCCAGTGCACACGCTCCGAGCAGGCAAGTGTTGTGTCAGCGCTGGGGTCTGACCTGGGGGACTGGCTGTTTTTCACCTCCTACTTCTTTGAAAAGAATTCCTTTACTCTACAGGTCAGAGAATATTATTGGAAACAGGGACAGTCTCCTAGAGCAAGCAGCAAAGTTTACAGAAGAATCCAAAGCTAATTAGAATACTTCCCCCGAGGAAGCATGCACACAAGATACAAGACAGCACATCATTGTGAAGGGGCATCTGCAGGCCTCACAAGGAAGGGTCTGCTATCTCAGACCCAGGGATGCGCCGAGCAGGTTCACAGCCCTGCGCCGGGCACCTGTTCATGGGGACGTGGGCTAAGAGAGCGTTAGACGGAGCCTAGGGCATAGTAAACATTTACTGCCCAGGGAAATAATGAAGCATGGGCTAAGGCCTTTTATCAGAGGCTGTTTCTTAATCATTCAGGGCCCATGAACAGTCACAACAGAGGCAAACAGAAACTGTGACATGTGCCTCTAAAAATACTGCTTATTGGCAACTGCTCTCTGGAAGAGGTATTTTGTGTTCATTGGAACCACTCGTGTGTGAGTGAAATTTTCCAGCAGTTCACAAAAATACCCGGCCACATCAAGGGCACATCTGTGAACCTCAGAAAGACGAGAAAGTACGGGGGCCCTGGAAGGCAGCGTCCGCTCTGCCAGCAGGCAGGCAGGCTGTCACTAGACACTCTCGCCTTGACATCCTCAGGATCCAACTGTAGGGCAGAGCTCCACGCGCAAATCTCCATCAAGCGCGTCAGCATCCAGCCCACGTGGGTTATTGTTTTACACATGTTCTTCAGGGTGCAGCGTCAACAGGGTGCAGGGTGCCTGGTCAACACTGACGCGACTCAAAAATGTGGTGTCACTTCGACAGCCATCTTCATTCACCACCTGGCTTGGGAGCGGCTCCTTTATTAGATCCAAGGCACAAGACATAAAAACAAGTATGGGGGCTGGCCCCATGGCGGAGTGGTTAAGTTCGCTTGCTCCTCTTCAGCGGCCCAGGGTTTCATCAGTTCGGATCCTTGGTGACGACATGGCACCGCTCATTAGGCAATTTTGAGGTGGCATCCCACATGCCACAACTAGTAGGACCCACAATTAAGATACACAACTATGTACTGGTGGGACATGGGGAGAAAAAGCAGGACAAAAAGACAAGTACAAAGGGCCTTCCATTTTTCTAGCTTTAACCCGATTTGTTTTGAAGAGATGCAGTGGGTCAGCAGGATGGCTGACAGAAGAAATGGAAGTGAAGTTATGACTGAGTGAACGGCTGCGTGGCTTCCGTGATGGTCACCCGTCACCCAGGGAAAGGGAGCCTTAGCACACACGGTTTTTGTTTGGCTGCCGGGGATGCCTGAACTGAATCCTCCAGACCAAACAAAATGGAGTCAACTCAGCCGCTGCTGCTTTGGCGGCATCTCCACTGTGCCACCTCACGGTGGATGCTCTTCCATTTCCTGACTTAACCGGACGGTCCATCCTTTGAAGCAGAAAACTCAAAATCATACCTGACAACTTCTTCCTCAGATC